ACCCAAACTATTCTATGATTCTATGAGATGAGTGTTCACGTGAAATGACAGCTATCACAAGATGAAGAAGGTCATGTAACCTTGAGCGTAACATTTTAAACGTTGACATACAACCACTGTTACAACTTACTCTCACAGTCTACAGGGTTCAGTCTGCCCTAGATTATGATCTCCTACATTTATCTGTGACACTTCATGAAATGTTTTTTTCTTGTATCCTGGAAACAAGATTTGTTAAGCTAGTTTAGAGGATATTTGAATACATAGGTTAGCTAGCTCTTTAGGCACTTGCACGATCTAGTTTTTACAGGTGACATGCTAAGTCTGAGAACAACTCTTGCTAAAGTCAGTGGAAACTTCTGGCTGCGTGGGACTTCCAAAATAAATCTTTACTCCTCTGAATAAAGATTTATGGATTTAAAGTTCTACATAAGGACTTTAGGAGGTAGGTTGTTTGTTGTGGGTTCTTTTTAAATACATACAAGGACAAGAATTCAGGATCAAGTCTTGGTTGGAACTGCCCTCCTAACAGACTTCAAAACAGTGCAACTCTGCCCAAGCTTATGCTAGAAGAGCTATAAAAAGCAAATCTCTAACCTGCTGGAGATACACGCCAATGGGTGGAGGATTACAAAATAAATTCCAGATCACATTCAGCATCTTAAATTCCTCCTGTAAATCTCTACAAGATCATATACAGTTCTAATCCCCTTTCTGAAGTTGTACCTGCTCTTATCTCTGTGATAAATAAAATGTATTTGCGCATTTAAATTTTGTAAAACCTTTACTCCCATAACATTTATGTCTGGTACTGAGGAGTCAGTGTTCTTCTTTGGTAGAGAAAAACAAAGCATGTAAACTCAAGTTGTATGACAGACAGGCATTAAAAAGAATACCACTGACCTTGAATAGTTGCCAGTGTACTGTTGCTCATCAAGGCCGGGCTGAGAGCACCACCTAATGTCCCTGGATTGAGACTGAGTAAGGCACCTCTGCAGGAAGCAAGATCATGGAAGAAGAAACAAAAGAGAAAGGGAAGGAGTGTTACTTTTAAGAAAAGGTTGTCACTGCTCAGAAGTACACCATTATATTTAAAAAAAAAAGGGGGGGGAGGGGGAAGGGGGAGGGAGGAAAGACCAGAGATCAAGGGCTAATTTTAGTTTATCTTAGTTTTTCCTTCATGATGCCTTGAGTAGACGCTGCCTTCCAGCTGTGTGGTTAGCGACATGCCTTAAGTACAGGCACTGTAAATACATGACTTGTATTGATTGTTGCTGTAAAATATTCTTGTAAAGTATTTTGGGGAAATTGCCACTTGTTAGAGAGCTACCATCATCTCCCAAATTCAGGTAAGAAAGATGTAAATCACGAGGAATTGAAAAAACAAAGAGTCACTTCAGAGCAACATTTTTAAAACTAAACCTTCAACAATACATGATCATGCATCTTTTACAGCTTCTTGCTCATGATGGAGAAATGAATACAGGGGTGTGAAATGGGTTTAGGCTAGCTCTCCACTTTAGAATTAGTAGAACAGATTCTATGATTCACTGGTAAGTTGCAGCTCTTAAGTCAAGCTCTGCAGTGCGATGGATGACATCAAATCACAACATTGCTGCAACACAACTTTTTCGTCCGTAAAATGAAACAAGCAGTTGTGTACATTGATGGGAATGGCCAATTACCATCTATAAGTAAACCAGCAGAATTTGAGATAAATGACACTAGAATCACGAAGTCAGCTACCAGAAAATAGTGATACATAAAAGTCTATACAATTCATCCCAAGAATTCTCCTCTCCTCTTCTGTCACCTCACCTAAAAGGGTGTGAAAATGCATCCTTACCCAGCTGCAAACTGCGAGGATGCCATCAAGCCTGGGTTTAGTCCTGCTGCAGCAGCCATGGCAGCAAGACTTGCATTTGCGGGCAACTGTGCAGCTCCTTGTAACGCGGCTGCTGCCGCTGTTTGCAACCCTGATGCCGTTACCATCACCTGGCTGGTCCCAAGAGGAGAGGACAAGGGAGTGGAGGTTGTCTGTGTTGTGCTGGTCTCACTGGCACTGGATGCCTCTGAAGTGGAGGCTGAGGCAGAAGGGGAAGGACTCAGGGAGGGTGATGTCACTGCTGAAGAAGCTGGAGGTGCTGTTGAAATCACTGTTGCCGTGTTGTTGGAGGTGGTTTCTGTTGTGCCTAGAAGATTGATTCTGGTTAGATCAGTAAAAAACACAGATATGACTGAACAGAAACCACTACCCACCTGAACTGGACTGCACATCCAACTGAAAAGGAGACAAACACACATTTCTGTAGGACCAAGAAGCACCAAGAGTCCAAATGAGAAACTGAGACTATAATGAAATGACACTTCCAAGAGGAGGCTGAGAGGCTCTAGAATCTAGAACCTAGCAATGGAATATAGCATATTTCATTCCAGCATCACCTGTGATTTTATCCCCAGAAAAGTCAACTGAATGGTCACAAAGACTGAAGTTTCCTAGGGAGTAACAAGGAACAATGACAAGAATGTCCTGGGATACCAGTGTGACCAGTGAATGACCTTTTGAAGAGCTTAAAGGGGGAAAATGGTAGAGGTTAATGTGGGGGCAAGGGAAATCAGCCCTTACCTGTGACTGACAGACTAGTTACAGCAGGACTGGTCAGCGGGAGCACAGGATTGACAGTCAGGGTTGTAGCTGCACTGCTAGTCACAAGGCTTGGCGTGGTTGCCACCTGGAGGTCAAAAAAGAATACAACTGCTCAACTGTTAAAATACAAAAATTTGCGTTAGCTACCAGACTTGGATTTCTTTCTTCCCATCCTCAGCTGAGGAAGTTATCACTGCATATAAGGAAAACACTGCATATAAGCTAACTTTTTTGTAATTCCATTACTTTATCATTCAGTGGACCAACCATAGTACCTTCTCTAATTACCAGCAGTATCTTTACTCTTATCTTTCAATATTTGAAGGGAGATAGATCCATTACATCCATACTGTCTCAGGACTGCAAGTTAGCCCTCCCTCTCTGCCTCCCTCCAAAGACACCACCTTGTTTTAATAGAGTCACTCTTATAAAAAGAGTTAAAAAATATATTATTTCTGAATGGGTTTTCTTCTTGTTTAAACATCCTTTCAACTCCAAATCTCTGATAAAATTATTTAAATGCCCCAGCATTACCAAAGGTATTTAGGGCAATGTGTTTACATGGATAAACAGAATAACATCTCACTTTTACTCAACCAAACTATAAGCTCTACTTTGATAAGTTTCCTTGTGCCAGAGGAGGGATCTCTGAATTTTAAAACATTCAAATAACATTAGCTAATTTTACTTGTGGACAGCTTATTACAAGAAAGCGACAATAAACTGAAGATGTTACAGATAAAAAACACCAAAGATTTACAGCTGGAAGAACCAGCTTATGAGGAAAAATGAAATATAAGGAGAGAAAGGACTTTTTATGGACAAGAAATGGTGTCCGACAGTAATATTTGAAGGCTGTTATACATCAATGAGCGAAACGAATCCTTCAGAATTGCCCAAGAGAACATAGCCAAGGATATAGGCTAAAACTTTCCTCCTTTCCCCTCTCTTACCTTAAGTTTATCATCAGAGAAATCTCTCTCATGCTGCACATCCTCTTATAGGAAGTCAAATGCTTCATGCATTTTAAACAAGACTGGGGCAACTGGGACAGATCTAAAAGCTTTCCGCCCATCTCAAATAGTATATGAAATAAAGAAGAGCTAGATACATAGTACACTTCCCACAAATGCAGCCCAAACATCGTATCTGTCATCTGACCACTGAACAGTTAAGGCCAAGGTCACAATCTATATTTCAGGGCAGTGAATGACCTAGAATTAATACAGCTAACCCCGTGGTTACAATGACTGACTTCAGCCAATGCAAAAGTAGGCTGCCATCAAAAGGAGCATTCCCCTCCAATCCTGCTTCAGAGCCCTAGCACTTGTGCAGCCAGGCTATAAGTCAGATTGGTTATCTGGCCTTACTGAAAATTCTCACTGTTCTTCACATGGTTAATTTGCAGTCAAACTAGTAAACTAAGCCCAATCATCCTATGGACACATAATCTCCAGAGCTGACACAAGGAATCAACAAAGCACATAGCCAGTGAAGGCTAGGGCAGCAGGGCTGGAACATCCATTTGAGTGGTAGCACAGCCTTAAGAGAAGCTTACAATGAGTGAAAATGCTTAGTGAAACATCACTGAAAAAATGGAGACTGTGGTTAACACCTCAATTTCTTACATACAATGGCAGTTTATAATAAAAGGGAAATTTATGTCAGAAAGCTTTCTTAAGTTGCAGTCTGAGTAAACTTGCATGGTTACTAAAACACGCTATCATAAATCTCACTATGTTCTGCCTTGGTAGCAAGGCATGCAACCTTGCTTTCCAATTGGGGAAAAAAAAAGAAATAAAAAAAAAAAAAGACTATGTACATTTAACACATCCCTTCCCCTGAAACAAAAGGTTGCATGCACATATCCTGAGACAAGGATGAGGGGAAAGAATGACACATCACCAAAATTAATGATTTAATGAAGTACTGGAAGATATTAGCTACTACAGTAATGAGGGTGGAATAAATACTACAAAAGGACGGCTACAGGCTACATAAATTCCACCACATTCCTATTAGCATAGCTACTATGAAATCTAATAGCTACAGTTTCTATTTATGAAAACAGACCTCCATGGACATTGGTAGCAAAGGAGCTGAAGGAACCTTGATGCATGTGTTTTGTTACTCTTATTTTCATGAAGTTTGTGTTTACCTGAGGCAAATACAAGCGTGGGAAATTAATTACACGAGTATTAGCTAAATTGTTCCTTTGTTCCATGTCTTTTTTTACATAAATCATTCCTGACTAAAAGTGATAACAACAGTATCATTGGATTTGTGTGACTTAAGTCTCCAAATGATATGTTTTACTGCTGCTCATCTACTTATCAAAGCAGCCAAAATAAGAGGGAAGGGGTAGAGCTGTAAGCATTTTTTTATTACTATTATTTTACAAAATAAGTCTGAACAAGAGAGGAAGTCCAGATATAAACTGCAGTTACTATCTGGAGTATTTTCAAAGCAATAACCCTAACTGCAAATTTGCTAGTCAGAATATTGACTCACGAGCTGACTAAATAAAACACCCAAACTGAAGACCCAACTACTGCCTGATTTGTAAGCATTCTCTCTCTTATATAGTATGCAAGTAGGATATTTAAAATGCCAGTAAAATATAAATTTGTGAGAACAAGTCTGCTGTACAAAGAAGATGTAGCATGTGCAACTTCCACGGTGAGCACAGTAGAACTATCTCTTCCAGTGATCTTTATCAACACAGTTTCTTGATTCTTACCAGTGAGGTTGGGCAAGGGAAAATTGCTTTGATGGGCGAGCTGCTGGTTCCACCACTGCTGGGTGGGTTGATCCTTTTCTCCTTCTGGCGCCGGTTACAGAACCAAACGCGGATCACCTCCTTCTCCATGTTTAGCTGGTCAGCTATCATGGTGATCTCATCCGAGGTAGGCTTTTGGTTCTGAGAAAAGAAAACAGTACTTGAAAAGCTGTAAAATTACCTTCTGAAGTTTTACATTATAGCTAGGCAGAAATCTGGATGGGCCATTTATATCCAGAATGTGGTCAGTGGTACAGTAGAGATAGACCATAATAGCTATTTCTGCCCTCCATTTTCCGAGTTACAGGAATGTTTCTACCAATAGTAATCTGTGTTCCTCGGAAACGGCTGATGAAGACTAAGCTCACATGCTTCTTTTTGAGAGAAGGGATCTGACTTGTGAGTTAATCCTTCAAGGAATTCTAGACTTTGATAAGGAAATTCTTCCTTCAGCACCTCTCGAAAAGGAATAGGAGAGATTAACTGTGGCAATAGTCAAATGAACCCCAAGTTGTCTAGACCTATAATGAAAGATAGGTAGACTGAGCTGGCTACTTACAGGGGCTATCTGCCCATCCAGCTGCACAAAGTGCCTAACAAGAGTAACATAAGGCCAGCTAAAAACCTCACATTATGTATGTTTAGACTGTCACCCCATTTATCCATCCTCAGAAAGGGTAATCTTTTTTTCTTCTTTTTGATGTGCAGAATATCAAGCTTAGATCTATGGCTCAGTATTTTGGAATGTGAAATCACAAAGTCAGCGAACTGCAAGAACCAATGAGTTTTTTTGAGGGGTTTTGCGTTCTTTTTTTTTTTTAAAGTGAAGTAGACGTTGACGCGTGCTTCTTGGCACAGCCTTTGTATTCACCTTGTTTAGTACAAGCACCTTCCTAAATAGCACACTAATGGGTTCACTCTAACAGATATGACTGTTAAGTAAAGTTTCTTCATTTCTTTATAGGTTGAGCAGAGCAACAGGATCACTGACCTCCAGGAAACTCTTCTCTAAGGCCACACGTATGTTGGTCTCTATGCTGGTGCGTTTCTTCCTCCTACGGTTCAAGCCTTCGATCCCCAGCCCTGGAGAATTCAGGGCACTTGGGCTGGAGAGAGTTGAATCAGATGAAAGGTTTTCTGAAAAAAGAAAGTAACACAAATCAGGAGATTTTATTTTAATGCAGCGCAGTCTAATGCAAGTGTTCTTCATCTGTGCAAGGTATGTTAAAACCCGCTCTGTATCTATTCCAGATATATAGAGATTTCTGAAGAACACATGCATTAATCGTTGTACTTGTAAATTACAACATATACTTGAAACTTAAAAGCTACAAGTAAGCCCAGAGGGTGCTTTCTGCTTCTGTATGCTACCACAGTATCCCTTTTATAATACCTATACAAAGTTGCTGTCTCCCTTACCTCATTCCACCCCAGACTCATTCACTGCAAGTCACAGTTTAAAGAACAAAACCAGTAACTAATATCCATGAGCCACAGCTGTAAGTCACAGGCAACTATGAAAAAATCCGAGCAGCCTGAAATTTCTTTTACCCACTCTGCACTACACGAGAGGAAGTTCATAGCCAGCTTCACAGTGTTCAGCCTCTTCTCTCTGGAGATCTTAGCAGATACTCAGTGCTATGCAGTTCTATCGAACAGCCTACACAGCTAGCAACTCCCCCTCCTTACCTTCACTAGGTCTCTAGCTGTCAACCCCTAATCCTATCTTTTTGGCTCCACAGACGAGCAAAGAGAGAACACACTTGACCCCACTTAGTAGCAGAAAGTGCAAAATAACCAACAGGCAGGTTCCATCACGGAATTTAAACAAAATTATTAATTATGGCTGCAGATCCCTCACTGCACTGGGGTTTGTGGGTGATAAGCAGGTGTCAAAGTTCACAATGCCTAAGACCATTCTGGCAGGCTCAAATGGGGAAGCTACATTCAGTTCATTATTTTCTAAATTTTTTTTTTTCCCCAGTAATGGCACCCAAAAATGTGCTGAAACCACTCTCCATCCTGAACACCCCACAGAGCAAGCTGAGTTCTGTAACAATAAATGCTCCAACATTCCAATGTAACATAATGGAAGGGATCATCGGTATGCTCCTCCTGCCTGCTTTTATCTAAAAGTAGCCTTTAAAGTCATCTGAATCTTTCTTCCAAAGGTTTTCATGAAACTGAATCAGAGCAAAAGACAATGGTTCCCAACTTCCAGGCTGTGAAGGACCCTGACACTGTTTGCAGTCCTTAACTTAACTTTACAGATCCAAGTATTTCTTCAGGCTAGCAGGAAGAGCAAACTATGACATTCCTTGCAGCACTGGACTCATCCAGTGTTGCTGTAAGGTTTGGGGACCACTGGCCTGTGGACTAGAGCACTCAATGTGAAGATCTTTATGTTTTCTATCACAGATCTACATTACCTAAAGATAACCCCTGTCAGCACAACAGAATGACACTTCCTTGTTTCAATGCAGGACAAATTTTCAACACTGCCTCCAATTACTTTCAAAATTTCAGAGAATACTGTAGGCATCAGCATAAAGTTCTCTTCATTTTGGTAAAAATAGGAAGGCACACACCGTCCCTGACAACTGTTTAGCAGATTCATCAGTTTTATGCTATGTACAGTTGTATACTTGGAAGAAAAAACTGGCTGACAGACTCTTAAACACTTTCTATCCTAACACCTAGCACCACCATCCAAGCTCCTTTTGCTGGTGGGGAAAAAAAAAAAAGAAAACAAAAAGGAACACTACCAACATTGGCATCACGAATAACTTACCTCCCAGGAAAAAAAAATTCTGGAAGGAAAAAGCAAAACCTAACCCACAAAAAACTCCTCCTATGGGGAGAAAGAGAGTGTTTATACGGACCCTTGGAGAGAGATGAAAAGAATGCACATAGGGGTGTGGGAGGAGATGAATGCAATAAGCTCTGCCTACTAAAACAACAAACCATGCAACCCTCTCTCTACTACACATCTGACAAAGAAAGCTAGAAGAGGATTAGAAGTTATATGCATTAACATACATGAAGGAGGAAAACCACAACACACATTATACCTCATCCCATGCAATTATTCAGCTGGCTGCAGAACACAATTCTGAAAGTTCATATTGGAACAATTTCGTATGGGCACATGAAAAGGAAGGATGGACACTTACTCCTACACTCTTGTTTGTCCCATGGACAGTTACAAAGATTGCTGGCTTCATAAAACCATAAGGGCACAAACGAAGCAGTTTTTCAGGGTTTTTCAGAACCCTACTGATTTTGGTAGGCTGGTGAAGAAATATACAGACTCATTCACCTGCATCATTGAGCCACTTTTCCAGAAGTGGCTTTAACTTGCACATGTTCTTAAAGCTGAGGTTCAAGGCTTCAAAGCGAGAGATGGTAGTTTGGCTGAAGTCATTTCCATAGAGTTTGCCCATAGCGAGCCCAACATCACCCTGGACAAAGAAAGAGAAAAAAGGGATTCACTAACATAGGCACTTCCAAAGCAAGGAATCCTGTCACATTCTTGTGTTCTCTTAGTTACTCCACTGCTGCATGGGATTTCAGTTTCACAGAAGCTTGCTCGGCACTACCAAGATTCATGCTAAAGCAAATAATCATAAAGAAATGTCAAATCTCAGTCAGTTTAACCAGTTTAACTCTTTTCAGGAAATCTCTGATGCTTTGTCTTCTTTGCATTATCACTGAGCAGAACATTCCACTGAATATTAACTTGTAATTTTTTTCTTAGTTCTGTAAGTAAAGGCCAAGCTGTCTTTAGGAGCAGATTTAAGTATCTGCGTATCTCACACCGAAGAAGAAAAGTTCAAATAAGCAGAAAGGCAGTGAATTCATGTTCTCAAATTAGTAGAAAAACACTCTTGAAAAGACGTCTACAAACATGTATCACATTTAAATAGATGCAAAAATATTCTTATCTGAACTTTTAGCATCTTCTGAGGTTCAAACCAAACTTCTCCCCACAGATACACATTTCAAAGCGGACAAGAAGTTGAACCATTTCAAATAGTGATTAACTGTAGTCTTCACTACCATTACCCATCTGCCAAAAAGCTATCCAGAAGATTTACAGACAGGTGATCATCTCTTTACATCTGTTACTACTTTTCAAAACTCAGTTTTAGCTAACTGTCAGACATTCTGCTTATCCTAATATCTACCTCTCTCTCTCTATATATACATCTCTATGTAGTTTACACTTGGAAAATCTTGTTTTTTTAAAAAAAAAATCAATCCATTCTTGATAGTGGCCATTAAAAACACCATAATGTTTTCTTGTTTTAACCTGTCCTTTGAAAAAAAAGTAATTCTTTTTAAAGTATGCTATTCGGTCTAAAGTAGTTTAATTTAGATTTTTTTTTTAACACAAAAAAGAATGAAAAGCCTAGGAGAAGAGACTGAAAAGCTTGAGCATAGTTAGTGGAGTTTAATTGCAAGTGGGTTAGTCGGATTGTGCGTAAAGCTTGCTTTCTTTCCTTTTAGGTCAGATCCACAACCACAGCTTGACACAAGTATACTAATAGCATGCAGAGTGGCCACATCCAAGCGAGGAAGAAAACAACCTTTGGTAAGCTTAGTAAATTGTGCAGGTTGCATAAAGAGAACAATTTCCTTCCTAGAAGACGACCAGAACAATTAGTTTGTACGCCCTTCAATCAGAGGAAACATGTGGGAACTCACATTTATACCTCTACCCATATGCCAGGATTCCATGCATTTTAAAACTCATAAATCATTCCAAGAGAAGTAACACGGATGCTCTACTGGGTTTATGAAGAAGAAAACCGGGCTATGTAAACCATTTTAGAGATAAGCTGACTTATGTTGTGGCAAGAAAGAGTTATGAAATTTGCTCCAGTCCCCTGACTAAATTTAATTCTGGTATTTATGTTGTTCTCACTAACATTTGCCATCTGATTTAAAATGAATAGTTAACCATTTCTTTGTCAATAGTTTTCAATGCCAAAAGGTGGCAGCATTTCAGCTGTAGGCAAAGGAATTTACACATTGGGATGAGAATTTTATACATTGGGATGGGCCACTGAAAGCGTGGATGGAACAGAGGATAAAGGTGCTGTACACATCTGATCTATTTTGTAGGTTGAATGAAGCTCTGGTACCAAACTGAAACTGATTATAAAGCACATCATTGTTGTGTGTACTGGTCTGTTAAGAAGCTCAGACAGACTAGTAGAGAATACCTTTTACAGAATAAAAATAACGTCGTCTAAAATGTTCGCTCACATAGCTTGAATCTGTACTGACCGATTAGCCACATACCTGCAATAATGCTAAGATGCAGTATGCTCACTGTGTCTCAGTATGTCAAATGTGGAGATATTTTTAAGGAAAACAATTAAACAAAAGGATTTAAATCCATCACCCACTTTTCAGGGTGGGAGAAGAGACAGAACTGCTGAAGTTCAAAACCTGTTATATTGCTCACAAGACAGAATGTAGTAAGTGATTAGTTTGCAATGCAAACTAAATCTTTCAATTATTTTTGAAAGGCAAGGGTGACGTGAGTCTGAAAAAGCTTACAGTACCACTGGAAATAAATTCCTTTTATCCTCTGAAAGGCAGTCTATTTATCCAGCTATAGGAAACCAAAGTAATAGGGGTCTCTAATTATCATCCAATTATGCAATTACGTAGAAGTTATTAGAACTGCCTAATTATACACATACAAACTCAGAGTAGGATAGGAACGATGAAATGCAATTTTATCACTTTCTCAAGATTCCCCTTTTTTGAGCTCAAAAGCAAACACTGAAATGTAAGCCTGAGCAGTTGTGTTCATTTTTCCTCACCATGAAAATTCACAACACGTCAATAAAGAAAGGTTAACCCATAACTTAAAAAGTCTAGTTGAGCCTTTATAATCATCTCACAGCAGGGCAGATTAAACATAATAACTAAAGATCTACATGAACCTCCTCAGTCAAGCTATAGGGAAGCTATTGTATTTTACTCTATTCTGTTCTGCTCTATTCTAGCTTTTGTGTGTTTCCATCACTTGTATTTCTGTGCCTCCCTCTAGTGGAAAGAAGGGAGAGAAGGAGGCACACATGCCAGCAAAATGCACTTCATTTCACTAAGAACATTCTGTTCTTGAGTTATAATTAAGATGCTGCCAGGAACTTTCATTATGAACCCTGATTTTTCAAACATTTAGGACTTTGCCAGAAAAATAAATCTGACTTTAGCACATACTTTCAGCTAGAGTAGATGTACTTATTCCGGGGGGCGGGGAGGGTGGGTGGGAAACAAATCACATATGTTGGATTGACTGCTCTGAGCTCAGACTTTTAAATAACTACTTTGATATTTGCATTCTATTTCTTTCAGCAAAGACATGCCTATGCTTACCACAGACTCCTGCCAAAATTAATTGTTTACCTGGACAAATATTTTAATTTTGTGGGGAAAAAAAATCATTTTTATATCAATAAGAAAAAAATCTTGGATCCAAGTAGCATTTCCCTTCAACAGAATAATAGCACATATAAATGCACTTTGTACTTTTAATTGTAGTCCTCATTCAACCATTTTCACTATGTTCAAGATTACTTTTCTTCTGTTCTATGATTCTATTTCTGAGCTTTTAAGCAAACCAAAACAAACAACAACTCCAGTTCACCTCTGTAAGGAGAGAACTTCAAAGTGACAGTCCTTTCAGGTTTTGTTTAGGAACCTTAGCAAAAGCATTAAATACAGAAATCATTGATGTTTAATAGGAAAATACGCTTCAGAGATAAAAACCCCTTTGACATCCAAAGGAAATCCACAGTTGTGACATACTTTTTAAACACACAGAGCAGTTAATTGTGCTGTATGATTTTTGGAACTTTGGACTTCTGAAGGCAGCTTTAAAGTGCTTTGTTCCATTCATTTCACATCCTATAGAATGAATAGTGCACATGCAATGACATCTGGAGCTGGTAAATGCACGTACCTGCTGAGAAAATGGCTATGCTTTAAAACCAACAGGGAAGTAAGATGGATGCACAGCTTTTTCTGTTATTTCTTAGAAATCCCCCACATAAAGGCCAGAGCATAACCCTATTTAAGAAGGTTCTCCTAGGAAAAGGCGGAATTGTAGTCTCCCTCCAGACTTGAAAGATGAGACCTCAGATTCCACACCGGCAGGCACTAAGGTACGCAGTCTCACCTGAGTGAATCCAAGTTTGATCCGTCTTTGTTTGAAAGTCTTGGCAAACTGCTCAAGCTCCTCAAGGTCACTGGGCTCCTCCAAGCTGGGAGTGTCGATTCGCTTTGGTGTTGACTGGCTCTGTGGAAGTGGCTGAATGGGGGTTGCCGCTATTGTGCGTGTTGGGGTTGCTGGCTATTATGATAGAGAACAAGGAGAAGATGAAAATCAGACTTAAAAGAATAATCAGCAAAAATTAAATTCAGAAAAGGTATGTGAGGCTTCTGTGAGAAAGACCAATGAATTTGACATTTCCAGCAATCTGGAAGTTCCTCCAATTTATTTACATTCCTCTCAAGAAAGAGCAATCACAATCCAGAAAACCCTATTAGTATGACAGCCTTTTAAAGGCTCTGTCAGAACCTATTAAAGAAAAGTAAGAGATGTTCAATGCAGCAGATAACCCACAACTTTCACTTGCTACAGAAGCTGCTCAAAGAAAGGCTGAACACTCTTACTTGATATAGTTCTATCATTTATAGACAGCTTGGCATTCATCCTCTTTTAATCATTTTAAAATTGAATTTACTGCTTGTGTGAGGTGGCAGATTGTCATCAGTCCAAAAGATTCAAGTCTCCTATTTAATCTTGGAACAGTGAGCACATACAGGGGCAGCAAACATGGCAAGTTTCCTCTAATGCCATCTCTTGTGACTGACTCAACACTTTCAGTAAGAAAAAAATAGATCCCCCTCTAGCCCTTCTGTTGATACTTGCAACGGTAAGAATGAATGTACTGGTGATATGAGAAATTAAGCAAAAGTAATTGCAGAAAACAATTCCTTTTAGGTCACACTTTTCTTCTATATAAAAGGCTAATTTTCCAGGAAGTCTACACAAGGTTCACTATTCCTGAACATTGGCATACTAGAGCATTTTGCTATACAGGAATAATAAGAATCTAAAAAAACCTGAGCATCATAGAAAATACTCACAGGTGAACAAAATATATTAAGATCTGGTATTGCCCAGTTCAGGCTTTATGTGCAACAGGAATATTGGAAATATGTTTTGAGTGCGTAACTCTACCTTCTTACATGCCATAGATGAACCGAGATGCAGAGACAAATCATTTACTCTAGTTAAATTCTATTCAGTTCAGCTGAGGCTCTTAAGTAAAGGCGACTTCATGCTTTTAAGTCCTATGGCCAGTTCTGAAACTACGGACTCCTTCAGGGCAAATAAGAACAGCCTGAAGTCTATGCAACGCTACAGTACTATGCAAAGTCTATGCCAAGGTCCAGAAATGGGTATTTTAAAAGAAATGGCCTACATATAGCTGACTCTTTACACAGCTCCTTATGTTGTTTTTCTCCTGGGTTAGTGCAGTATTTTGCAGTGCACAGCAGATGGTAGAGGGAGGTCAGGATCTATAATTCCATTACTTGAGAAATAATGTGATCATATATGATCTTCCTAGGATTGCAGTTATATGTGTCACACTATAAAGGTTTTTAATATTTTTTAATTTACATTAAACATAGTGGGTAATTACTGCAATATGTCTTTACTGACTTCACCCCCTTTATATAATTTATTTTCTCTTTGTAGTTTTGATACTTTTTTTTAATCCAAGTATGATCTTTAGTAGGGAGTCATGCTGCTAACTGAGGTATGACCTACAGAGGTGAGACAAATTCTGTTTTCCACATGGTGCATGAAAAATACTATAGGTGGTATAATAGAAAATGTAGTTTTCTAAGACTGATAGACTCAGGCATCTTATTACAGACTAAAAAATTCTTACATGTAACCAAGTTGTCAGGAAGATACCATACGATATTACATGGTATTTGAGAAACAGCATGCAGTCATGTAACTAAACGGCACAGTAAAACCCAGAGTGAAGCAAAATTAAATTTGCAGGCACATGCAACCTTAAAATTGCTTTTCTTACAGTCTCAAAGCTTAATCATAGAGCTTTAATATTTTAACATATATCTAACAGAACATTTTAATGCATTTCTAACAACCTCTTCACTTTCACAGAAGGTAACTAGTAAGACTGGCAATGACTTAGCAATAATAGCAAAACAACTAGGCCACAACAAAGATAGATCACCATAGCAATCCTTAGGAAAAAAGATACTTGTCAGTAACCCTCTTTTTGAACTTTTTAGGTAGCCCACACCTTGCTCCTCTGAATTTCACAAATTCATAGATTGTCCAAGAAAGGCTTGCAAGAAATCAAATGATGCTCTAGTGCCATTAACCCAAGATATCAATCATGGAAATTTTCAGCTAAAAATAAAAATTTAGAATGTTAAATGTATGAAAAGAGGCACATTAGGGTGGAAACTACAAAACTGAAGTTACTGATCCTTCAGCTCTACACTGAATCTATCTAGAAAGACAAACTCACTATTATAGCTACAATATCTACTCTGGTAACTAATACAAAGGGTCCATTCACTTGCAATCACCTCAAAGCAACTCATAAACTGTAGAAATAAGCCTGACCTGCGAGGCAAGGGTGATGCTTGGCTGAGACTGCAGGAGGTTGGCTTGGCTTTGCTGAGGTAGTTGCGTTAAGAGATTCTGCGCTTGCAGGAGACCTGGAGAGAGAAAAGGGTGGGTTTGGTTTGTCATTTAAAAAGACTACAACATGAAATGAGGTGAAGCAAGACTCTTGCCAAATAATGAAAGTTAAATGCAAGCCTTCATTTCATCCCTGCATAGGTATCTTCAGACTTTGGACTTTTCAGTCCAAAATCCCCTTGCATTTTCCTGAAGTATATGTGGTGACAAAAGGCTAAAAGAGAGAAGTCTGTACTAGTGTCCTTTGCAAAAGGAGTTTGTAATGGTATCGGTTATCCCAGTTCTGTGTGCAGGAATCATTTATTGCCCCTTTCAGCTTGCAGATTTTGGGTAAACCTCTTCCTGTAACCAATAGCTGACCAAGAATCAGGGAGCCACATACAACTGAACACTAATCAGATCAAATCTAACAACTGAATACTAACCAAAACCACAAATTTGGCTCCTTGATCACCCTCCTTCCTCTCCATATCACCCCATGTCAGCTGCCTAACAAGAAGACAACTTTCTCTGGCAAACTTAAGCAGAGCACATCAGAGGACAAAACAAGCCCGGATAACCTCCTCCTGGCTGAAATAAAGAAGGAATCTTTTGGAAGAGAAATCAGAACTTAAAGCTTGGGTAAGATACTAAATACTGCTTAAATTGCACAAATAGAATAAACATTACACTGAATATATGAAAACCCCTGCTATTATGGAAAGGTGACAACATTAAAAAACAGTTGGGACTGATGCAACCAATATACACAATGCGCTGTCATTCTAAAAATAAATTCTCTTACAGTCCACTATTTGTATGGTTTATTAAATCTCTCAGGAAATTGGGATATATGCTTGCAGCTATATATTTTAACTAGAACCTGATTTTTTTTTGCATTTCTAATACTAAAATTTATGTATTTTTAAGCGGTAAGAATCTTGACAAAAATATACCTACAGTTAGTCAACTCCCTCGATTTTATTGTGAAAAATACTACTGTCATTCTTTAGGTAACTCCTGGCTATGACTATCAATTTCCCCTATAATAATTTAAGAACCTGACTAATTAAAGCTACACTTAATAGGCATCTTCAGTATACCAAGTTCTTAAAATCATGGGGGAACAATGGCACGATAACAACAGATGGACACTATGGCCACTCAGAGGACAGAACACCAAGTAAGTACCACTTAAATTCTGTAATTTGAGTTCAGTGTGGTCTGCTCTGGTTCATCAGCTGGCCGATCAATCAGAGCACACAACTCATGACCAGCTACATCTTAGCAGAATATAGGTAGGGGACACAGGAATTTATGACTTGATAAATACTGAGTGAGAAACTGGATGTTTTATGAGAGGTTAAGGCCATAGGAGATATGAAAAGGGACTACCATGGGTAGGAAGGAGAAAATGTATTCTCAATGAGGGATACACAACTACAGAAGAATTGTCTTCTGACAGTGATACTACTGTTACGGGCCTTTTTTTTTAATGAAGTGTTGAATATGTATTTTAAATAGAATGTGTTGCTATCAAAATGCTCAAGACCTACAGAATAAAGCCAGCTGCTTATGCAACATAATAGCACAGCACAGACAACTATGTAAATTTGCTTTGCACCACATAATCAACATGTTCCAGCTGTGTTTTTGAAAAGCCACAGTGAAGGAACTTCCAAGACAGCTACCTACTACAGTTACACAGTGCTTTTTACAATGCAAATATTTGTTCACTTGAAAGATGATTTCAGCTGCCCAAATCTAAATATTAATTAGCGAACAGTCACCTCTAAATGAAGAGGTTTTGACCTTCATTTAGTGACAGTGAATTTTAACTGACAACTTGAAATAGAAAGGGGGAAGCCATCACAGCGACACTACAGAGCGGCTGATCAACAAAGAAACAAAAAATAGGCAGCTGACAGTGACCACATTCGACCTCTAGTTCACTGGTAACACCATCAATCACAAGTTACTGACTGATCTTATGACTCTAATCAGAGTAATTAGGACTGTCCTTTTGTGATTTTTTGTCCTCAAAGAAATCCCAGAGGATGTTTTTCTGGCAATAACACTTTTGCTGAAGAGCACAAGATGACTACACTCTTCCTCATTTTATTCTCACTCGTATGTTCTGAAGTAATTGTCACTGAAGGACAGTATAAAATATTCTGAACATGTTTAATCTACTGATGTTTCTACATCATTTTATCCTATTAAAGAAATACTGATACAAAGCATCTCAGGCAGAAACTGGAGAAAGAACAAGTTAGTTCAACCTGCAGCTGACTGAAGTAATGATCAGGGGATGGGGAAAGCAGCTGAACTCTTTTGGCAAAATATGCGTCTCTTCCACTGACTTACTGTCTTTTCAGGCAGTTGCCATGCTCACACTTTGCACTCTTGTTGGCTTCCATGGGTGGGCAGCTGCAGTTTTGTTCTTTTCAGACATGACTTGTACTAGTCTAAGCTTCACCTTCATTTTTTTTCTGAGAAGAAACTACTGCTCCCCACTTCGATCCAAGATAACTTCAGTGACTTAACTTACAGGGCACATAGTGCAGCCTTTTAAATACAGTGTAAGTCCAAAACTGCACCTTTTAGGCAACTGCTGAGATATTGGTGTTTCAACTTTGCTGTTTCCTTAGGGACTTATACTGGCATCAATACTGTTTAACATCTTTATTACCAATAAGGCTGATGGGACAAAAATATATTCACAGCAAGTTTGTGGATAATACCAAATACACGGAGAGTGGTCAACAGGCGAGAAGACAGGCTGGACAAATGGAACCTCATGAAGATCAATGCAGGAAAATGCAACGTCCTGCGTGGGGGCTGGAATAACCCTCTGCAGCAATAGAGGGTGGGCACTGGCTGGCTAGAAAGCAGTTTTGCAGAAAAAAGACTGTCCTGGAGGACAATAAGATGAACATGAGCCAGCAGCGCGCCCTTACAATAAAGGCAGTCAACCACGTCCTGGGCTATATTCGCAAGAGTGCAGGTCAAGGGATTCTTCCCCTCCATTTGGCACTTGTGAGACCACATCTGGAGTAGTGTGTTCAGCCTTGGGTTTCCCACTACAAGAAACAATGACATCCTGGATTTTGTACATTCAAGGCCCACGAGGGTGGCTAACAGGCTGGAACACCCATACGAGGAACGTGTAAGCGAGCTAGTTTGTTCAGCCTTACAAGAAGACTAAGGTGAGATCCTATTGCTTTCTTCAAAGAAGAAGAAATGGACTCTTCTTAAGGGTGCACAGTAATGAGATGCAACAGACATAACTTGAAACATGGAAAACTCCAACTAGATATAAGGAAACAATTTTTTTTTTTTTTTAAATTTTTTTTTTTTTACCATGATTGGTCATCTATTGGGGCAGGTACTTGAAGAGGTTGCAGAATCTCCATCCTTGGAGATGTTCAAACCCAACTGGCCGAGGTGCTGAGCACTCTGCTGTAGTCGGACCTGCTTTGGGCAATACTGCATGACCTCTTCTAGAGGTCTTTTCCAACCTACATGATTTTTTGAATCTATAAAAATTAATATTGTACTTGTATACTTAACTTTACAGAGGTAGTATTTCTAACCTTCTGCTTTGGGTTCTAAGAGCCCAGTGGTATTATTGCATTAAATATGGCATACAAATCACCTACATGATGCTCCAAAAGAATGACTGCATGGAAGTAGATAAGGATTTATGCAAAAGTATGATGCTTTAGAGGTATTTAATTTTTTTTTTAATAGTTAAAGTAAATGCATCTACCATCATCCAGGACTTTTCCTGTGATGTCTACGAGTAGCATGAATAGTGGCCCAAGCCAAAAAACTCTTCCTGCCAGCCAACAGTCCCCAAGGACTGATCTGGGGTTCAGTTCTTACTGTCTAAAATTAAACAAAAGATAAAAAAAACATTCAAGTGCAAATTTTTTCAGCATAATTTTTTAAAAGTTGGCCCAGAAGCATAATACATAATTCATCCCTAACCGATCTCCCAAAAGAGTGAATTTTTTAATCTAAGAAGAACTTGACTGCTTTTTCTCTGCCAAAGCTGTTCATCTTCTCACAGACATATCCTGGAAGTTAGCTTGCAAGACAAAGCCATTACAATGTCATAATTTGATTAACTGGAAACAACTGAAAGGGAAAAAGGAAGGGTGTCACACCACATATTACATACAGTGCCTTTTGATCAACTTTGTTGATCACTGTTGATGCAAAGAAACTTCTGGGCACTTTGGTGTACCTCATTTTATCAAATCCAGATCTTCCAAAATGGGGACTCGTAGTTGGAATTATATTGGGACCCAACATAGGAGAGAAAGTACTAACCTATGCATTATCAAGGAATATAGAATCATAGAATCAAGGTTGGAAAAG